CGTCATACCGCAAACCACACAGACCCCTATCATCGCCACCATACCACAAGGTACATACAACCCTACCGTCGGCGTCATACCGCAAACCACATACAACCCTACCGTCGGCGTCTTACCGCAAGGCATATATAACCCTAACGTCGCAGTCATACCGCAAGGTACATACAATCCTACCGTCGCCATCATACGGCAAGGCACACACGTCCCTACCACCAAACAGGTCCTAGTCGACATGGATATGGAAAGGGATCCCCCCAGGCGGAGGAAGAGAAGAAAATGAATGAGCAGTCGTACGTACTAAAAAAACGGTGCGCCCATTACGGAAGGTGGCAAGAAAACAATGCATGTGTGATAAATGTGTATATGTAAGCACAGTAACACAAACGTGTAAAAAAAATTGACTCCACGCAGGTTGGACGCAATATTTTTTGAAGCTACAAAAGCTACACAAGGAAGAAAAAAATAATAATAATAATAATAATAATAATAAAAAAAATAAAACATTGTTATTTTATTTGTTCCTTTTTTTTAATCATCCATTTAATTATTTTTTATTTTATTTTTTTTTTTTTTTTGTAATTCTGCATATAAATAAAAAAAAGTACGGATAACCTTTTATCTGTAAGCACACACACGCACAAAAAGGTTTGAGTTATCACAACCTTCCTATTTGTATACAATTGCCCTTGGTGTTTAATCATTCATGTTGATAAATTTGTATTATTTATCATTATATAATACGTGGTCATTTCCCTCAATGTTAAGTTCAAATATATATAAATCATTTTCCACTCCATTTCGTGTTAAAATAACATTTGCCTATATGTCCTCTATTATGTTACAAATAGAGATATATATGTATGATTAATGTGTATGTTGTGTGCTCCACCTCTCACACATTTTTTTTTTTTTTTTTTCTTCCTATATGTGTAAATAATTATATATGTGTTCAACCAACGCATATGTCGCTTAACTTATTACTAAGGAAAATTCTGTGCGATGTTTTTTGCGTCGCGTGGGGAACACTATAAGAGAAAAATGTCTTTTTAAAAAAGTAACGATTAAAACATTATAATATTTGCATACATGTGTAAAATATGTGTAAATAAAAGTACAGCACTGCTCTCCCATCTTTTTTAATGTGCTCCTTTTTTTAACAGAATATGCGTTTATTCACCCCTGTTCGCTTTTATGCGTAATGCCAACGCGTCACAAAAAATGTGAACATTTTTTGCTAATCAAATCGAAAGCGTTAAAGATTTGTTCCTCTCTAAAATTTCTATACGTGTCGATAAAGGTTCTGACGTTCCAGTTGTGAAAAACGAAAGAGGACTGTGGAAACACGGTCATAATGTCATTTTTATCCATCCTTCAGATAGTTTCAATGTCTCTTCCTTGTACTCTTATTTTTCCACTAACATTAGGAACGAGACCTAAGATGGACAAAATAATTGTGCTTCTCCTTGAACCTGACTTCCCTACGATGCCAATTTTTTGATTTTTCAAAGCATAAATAGTAATATTTTTTAAGGATAGATCTTCATCTTAATCTTCATAACAAAATTTATTACTATTTTTATCTAGAACAACTTTTTTCTTATAACTGACGAATACGTTCTCCACACAAACACCACATTTTTCTTTCGATTGCTCTATGGCTGCTGGATCTACAATACCGGTAGGCAAAAGGGGACGTACTTTCTCTCTAATTGTCAAATTTACTTTTCGTCTTCATTTCGCCACATGTCGGCTTAACTTCTCCCTTAAGCAATTTTTTTCATTCGGTAATTTTGAGAACTCCTGTAACTTCTGCACACAACACATGTGTTTCTCCACAAAGGTATAATCACACAAAATAATTTCTGTCAGCACCCCAAGTCTTGAGGAAAAAGTAATACAATACCCAATTGTGCTTATACTTTTGTCGTAATTTTTCCCTTGGTACGACCTTCGTCAGATTCCTCCGAACGGGTGTTATTTCTCTTGAAGGAACCACCCGATAGGCACCAACAAAAAGTACTAAAGGAGTATCAGAAAACATAATATCATAAATGTTTATGCTAGATGTGTCCTCTGTTCCCACATCTTTTGTCGTCCTATTTTTTTTTAAATAGATGATCACTATCAATCTTTTTTACACATTTTAGTTATACAGGAAGGATTTTGTTTTAATACTGTTACGACTTTTTCTTTCCATTATTCATAATAGCGTATTCAAAGATTCTTCTCTAGTTCTATATACAGAATGATTCGTTAAATCGTTATTACGACTATACAGGTTAAAATTGTCAAGGAAATGCATCAGTAATATTTCCATATTTACTAGAAATTCATAATCATAAAAATTCAAAATAGAATCAAAAAGACATTCAAAAAGTAATAAAACAACGATGTACAATTCCAATATTACTTTCGAATTATTCAAAAGAACGGAGAAAGATGGAATGGTTTCACCTTTTAAAATGAGCATATATTTGTCTATAGATGCTCCAACAGGAATTATAAATATGGTTTGTAAAACGTTAAAGATAATTATTGAAATTATGCTAACTGTAAACGTTTTAAAAATTGTACACACAATATTGTTATAATATACATTATATTCCGTCTTTGCCCTTATGCCTTTTGAGTTATGACAATGTCCTACCACAAAATTACTTTTTTCATAAAAATGTTTAGAACTACATTTTCTTACATAAACTTTTCTTAAATTTTGTTCCAATGCAGATGAATAATGTATCACATTGTTGTCTGTTCGTAATGTACGAAACTTAATTTCAGCTTTTATAAGATTATTTAGCAATTTTGTCACACCATGAAAATTATAAAACTAAAAATGGATACATTTTCTGGTTCATTTTCATCGTTTTATGCTTGTATTTACATTTCATGTGTGCTTAATTATAACGTCTTTAATTTGTTATTTATAAATAGAACACATTTATTTATGTGTGTCTGTTTATTTTCTTCTTTAAGTTCTTGTTGCCTTTCTCACCTCTTGGCTCATCTCATGGATTAACCATTTTAAATTATATTTCCCCCGTGCCGAATATGGAAGAAGACATACTAATGTGTATGCTTAAACGTTCATAAAATTGAAAATAAGTGTATATAATTTTGTTAATTTGTGTATGTTCATTTTAGAAAGTGTTGCATGAGTTATAAAAATTGGACAACATTGTATAGACATTTGTGCTCTAAACGTTTATTGCATTATCATTTAATCTACAAGCTGCACATCTTATACATGTGAGAAAAAGAATTAATGTAAAATTCATCACCCTTTTTTTTAATTCTTATGGAATTATAAATGATTAAATGGCTGTTGTTCGATACAGCATAATAATATGTTTGCAAGTGTTCCTTTTTTTCCCTTACTGAATTATAATAATTGAAAAGTAATTCTGCCATACTATTAATGACTCTGTTATACAGCAATTTTAAAGGTAGATAAATTATAAGCAAAACCAAAATTAGTTACTGGATAATGCAAAAATAATCTAAAGATATTTTACTCTTTAAAAATGCTAATGTACACAATTCTGTTTTGTATAAAATTCGGCAAGTACGTCTATATATGTCAACCTAAAAAAAAGTATATAGTTCAAGAAAAGGGTAACTATTGTTGATAAACCTTTAGATTCAAACATATATACAGGGTGTACGAAATGTCTTTTGTGTTTTCCAAATGAAAAGGGTTTTCAAAATTATGGTAAGTTTAGAAGAGTTCCATTTTTATAGATTTATTTTCATCATTTGTGTGAGTTTTGTAATGTGTATGACCGTGATAAATGAGTTATATTTTTGTGTCATTCTTTTTTCCCAAAAGGTATGCATCTTAATGAAGACAAAAATGATTTTTGTTTTTTTGTTAAAAGTTTAGGTATTGTAATCTAAAATTGTGATACTCATGATATATATTTTTATGAAATAGATAGATCGTACCTTCAATTACTTGCATACATATTAAAGGATCGTTGTTATGTGTAAAATAAGTAAAACGAAAAGAACCTTTAAGATTGTCTTTCTTTTTATATAAGACAAAACAACACATACGCATTTAAATGTTTGTAAAATAAAGTACAATTCTTATGTATCTTTAAACGTTTCATATTGGTTTAAATTAATTATGAATGAAAGATTCTAACAACCAATTTCTATTCAAAAATAATTTAATTTAGTGCCATATAAGATAGAATAGAAGCAAATGATAAAACGAACAGACTTCATATTTCCTTTGCGCAGAACTAATAGGATTGTCTTATTAGTTACCTTAATATTTGTTATATGGCACAACATGAACTTTTGAATAATTCTTTTAAAGATTGCATTTGTATTGATTCTCATCATTCCTATACAATATACATTTTTATTTGAATACTAAATATAAATAGACAACAAAAGTGACATAAAGAATATTAAAAAATAGACATAAATATTATGAAATGCTATTATATTTATGTAAAAGAGTAAACCATAATCAACAAAGAAATACATAAATGAGAACAACAGTACAGACAGAAATTACAAAAACAAACTATATATGCAAGCATAAAAAACTAAACAAGAAATAATCACTTTATTATAAAGTTTATTTTCAATTCAAATGTGTTAAATAAACACATCATATATGTCTAAAATGAATGTATATGTTGTTCCTAAAAATGTGAAATATCATATGAGATACATAAAATATAATGTGAACCAAATTAAAATATAAATGTTATTATGCCAAAAATGCTAGTACATGGAAAAATATTCCATATATAATGTAATATTAATAAATAATGTAATTGAAATAAGAGTAATGTAATAAAATACAATAAAAAAAAATAAAATATAAGATAAAGCAAGTAAATATGTAATAAGAATTAAATTAAAAAAAATAAATTTAATGATATATATATTTATACGATATTGATTAAAAAAATTAAAAAGAGAATTATAATTAAATAAGTTATATAAGATAATTTAATTAAAAAAAATTAATTAATTCAATATTAATAATATATATAAAAATATATATATTAATAAATTAAAATAAAATAAATATATATAATTCATTTTAAATAAAAATAATATATAATAAATTAATTAAAAACAAATTAAATATTAAAACCGATGAATTTAAATAATTTTTATAAACAATATATTAATGAATATATTAAATATATGGTTAAATAAAATATATACATTAATATATAAAATAAATATATTAATAAACAATAATTAAAAATATTAATATATATAATAAATAAATTAAATATATAATATATTATAAATAATAAGAAAGGCTTTAAATTAATTTTATTTATTAAAAATTAATTAAATATAATATTTATTTAATAATATATATATTCTCAATTTAAATAAAGAAGACACAAATTAGTTTATTTAATAATTTTAAAACAAATAAAGTATATAATTAATTAAAATAATTAGTCTATAATTTATGTCAATATTATTAATATTGAATGTTATAATTATATATTTATATTATTATTTAATTATATTATTAATTAAATGTGTATAATCATGTTATTAAAAAATATAAATAGAATAAATAGATTAATATTATAAATTTAAATAATCATTATTACTATAATAAAATAAATAATGATATATATATATATATAATAAATTAATTTAATATATATAATTAAAATATAAATAATTAAATTAATAAATAAAATAAACAATTAAAATAAATATTAAAAATAATAATTAATTAAATAAAATAAATAATAAATAAAATAATATTTAAAATATATAATAATTATTAAATAAATGCAAATTAAATAAATAAGAAATAAATCAATTAAAATAAATATTATTTAATTACACACAAAATATAAATGTTATTTAAATAAAATTATTTAGCATTAATTTATAAATATATATTTATTATTTTATAATATGTATAATTAATTGTATATATTATTATTAAAAAAAAATAGATAAGATAAATACATTTTTAATATAATTACATTGATCTTTATACATGTATTTAATTATTTATATTTTAATAATAAAATACAATTACAAGATTTATAATATATCCTTTTTATAATTTTAGAGTAATCTACAAGTATTTTGTATTAATATATAGCAACATTATAATTAAATTCACATATATATTTAATCTAAATATACACGTCTAAAATAATTAATTACATTATAATTAATAAATTAAATTAATAATTATTTAATTTTAAATGTTATTAAATAAAATTAAATAATATTTAAAACTAAATTAATTAATAATATAATAAGAAAATAATTAATTTAATATAGTAAAATAAATAATTATATTTTATAATAATATAATTATACTTTAAATAATTTTAATAAAAATAAATAATAAATAAAAGAATTAAAATAAAATAATAATTAAATAAGTAAACATATTTAATTATAATTAATTAAATATTTAAATATTTTATATATATGTTAAAATAATTATTTTAATTAATATATTTGATATATTATTTTTAACAAATCATTTATTATTAATTTAATTTTAATTAAATAAATATTTTAATAAATTATAATTTAAGTTTTAAATATATAAATAAACTCACTCACATTTTAAATAACAAAATAAATAATATTTTAATTTAAATTATAAATAAAATTAATTATTTTAAATAATTAAATAAATTAATTAATCTTTAAAACAATAATTCATAAATGAATTAAATTATATAATGTGTTGAATATAACAATTATGCAAATTAATTATTGAAAAATATATAATTAAAGGCAATTATTTTACAAAATATTAAGTCTAACTAATTTAATGAATTTATTTTAATCAAAATAAATAGTATATAATGATTTAAAAATTGTCTAGCAGAATACAAACTGTTCGTATTTACTAACTGTTATATTTAATTAATTTAAACAATTGAGTAATTACAAACAAAAAACTTTATATAATTGTGTGCTAATGAATTGTTTTAATTAAAGTGTTATAATGTTTGTATAAGAGAAAATTATTGAACGGTTATTATTATATTAATTAATATATTGTGATAAAATATATGTATACAATAGGAACAGTTTAGTAGTTGTGTATTAAGTATGGTTTATATTATAATTTTGTTTTTCCTCTATATTCTTTTTGTTCACATGAATGTAAACAATTTTAGTATAGCTATATATTATTGTATATATTATAGAAAATTGCATTATAGAGAATTAGAAAAAAAACTTATCTTATGAATTATTAGAACCTTATTAGTAGCATACATAAGCGGAACCTTGGCTATTTTTTTTGTTTTTAATTTTTGATCATATAGAATTGTAAAAACAATATTTAGCAGTTTTCAAATTGAAGTTACACATGATATATTTATTATCACTATTAAATATAACGAGACAATATTGTAATGGTTTGACGCTTAAACTTTTTTTTGGACATCATTATACTTTTCTGTACAAACGTTTTTCTTGTCAAAATTCATATTTTTTCTTAAGAACTATGATTTCCTGCTAAAAATATACATAAATCCCTTTGCGTGTTAATGTGTCATTTCGTTAACATATATATATATATTTTTTATACGTCACACATTACACCTTTATCTATTACGTTTTTTAATAGTGATGTTTTTCAGGCAAAAAATGTGCACATAATTATTATGGTGCATCCTTTTGATTTGTCATAAAAAATGTCTACAACCAATCTCATATTTTAATGTTTGCATTATAAATATTTTGTTAACGCACCTATGTCATGTTACAAATGATAATATAACATACAAGTCTATGATGCTTAATTTGTTAAGAACTAATAATTGTTCATTTATATTGTATCACACTTCAAAGTCCTTATTATCGTGAAACAAGCATTTTATGTACAACTGCTATTAATATTAAGATGTTTCTTATTTTTTTTAAACCTAGAAAATATTTTTACCTTTTAATGTATATTATATGATTATTAAAAAAACAATAACATTTGTAATTGCCTTTAAGACAATGTGGTACATCTACCGCAGATTATGGTTTGTTACTTCTGACCTATAACTGTGATATATATGTCCAATTCTTGAGGTTAACACTTTTTTATATCCACAATATTCTTAAAGAAATGAGTTCATAGAGAACGAACATCGTTATAAAATAAGGTGTTTTAAATATTGATGTATAGAACAGTGATTAGTAAAGCATGAAAAAAAAAATGAAACAATTTTGGAAAAGGTAGAAAAAACCTTGCACTCATTTTCCGTATTTCAAGAAGAAATTGCTATAATTTAATAGTTTTTATAAAAGGTTCTAAATTAATTAATGAAGTCTTTCTTTTATTGGCCGCACAATTAAAAATGCGTTATATTATCATTAGTACACATATTTTTTTCTTATCAATAGTAACACTAATTCATTTTAGGATGATAGTAGAAAAAAATTAAAAATGTAATGAAATAAATTTACCCAAGAACGCCATTTATGTTGTCTTATTCGAGATAATATACAAAGAAGTCCTAACTAAAAACTTACATGTGAAATACAGATGTAAAAAATGGTGGTTCTTATGAAAACTTTCAAATACGTGTAAAGCATTTTTTTAAATAGAAAAAATTAACATTGCGCATGTTTAGGATTTCTAATTTTCATTTTTTTTTTATGTAACATGGAAACCCAATGTTTTCTATTTTATGTTTTTTTTTTTTTTTTGGTGTATTAGTACAAGCTTCGATGATCATGTTGCAGAAAACTTGTTGCAAGAACAACTTTGTTTTTAATTCTTTGTCAATAAGGAAAGGCTTTATTATTATTCTTTTATATCTTTGAGGGTGACATTTGAAAATAATAAAGGGCATTCCCATTTCGTGACACGTGTTCATATAAGTGTGCAAACTTTAATTTAGTTAAAAATCAATTCTAAATGTTTGATCTATTGTTGCTATATATATTAAAGCAAAACATTTTAAGACATATTACTTCTGTCCAGAAGAGACCCTTTAAAAAAAAAAAAGAATCGCAATTAAAAAGTATTAAAGTTTAAAAAAGGGAAATAAGTTTTACTTTTTCCCTTTGCAATTTTTTAGGTTATTCTGAACATGTACTTATGGCAACATATGCAAAACAAATTTTGCATTTTCATGGGTCTAAATGCCTTTTGTGGGTTATTGCGGTGTTGCACATAAATAATAAGAGTAAAAGCTACCTACACCTATAATTCACAAAAAATAATGATAAAAATAAAAAAGTGGCAAAACATAATATGCAAAGAACGAAATGGTGGGTTACGAGTTAAAAAATTCCTTTGCAAGTTTATTTAAAAAAAATGTATATTTTAACAATACAAGTGTAAGAAAAAGCATAAGGGAAAATGAGTATTTCCCCCCCTCTGTTGTATTTATTCGTTTTGTAAAACTTTCTTTGGTTAATGCAAAAATTTAACCGTATGCAAATGTAGATGATATGACGCACAGTGTAAGGGCAAAATACACCTATTAATTTGTGCTTCTTAATTTACTCAACGATTTTATTATATCCTTAAGACTTTGTGCAAATGCCTCGGTTTCAGATTCATGAAATTTACTTCCTATGGAAATTTTTTTTCCTATGGCTCAATGCTTTCGTTGTCTAATATGTAGAAATCCTCTTGCTCTTCAATTATTTGGCTTCCTTCTTCTGCGGCTTCATTTGTTCTTAATAAATGTGTTTGAACGTTTTCTTCTTCGGAGTTGTCTATAAATGCATAGTCAGTTTTGTCATTATATCTCTTATGAGCATCATGTTTGTCATCTCCTGATCTTATTTTTAGTTCATTGCCATTTTCTAATTTGATAGTATCTATTTCACCATTTAATAGCTTCCTAATTGCCCTGGCTGCATGTTCTGTTTCAGCGAAATCTTGATTGTTCATGTCCTTTTCTCCCAGTGTAGCATGCACTAACAGGACAAATAATAACGTTATGTAGAGAGTATATCGGGACGCTAAGAGAAGCTTCATTTTCTTGGAATATTTGGACAACAGGATGTACGACTTAAAAGGTGGAAGAAATTAAATTATGTATTTATTTAAAAAAAAAGTTTAAACAACATATTCCAAGGTTCAAATATGCAGAAATTTAACTTTGTCTTAAAATTACAAATTGAGAAATGTATTTTACATTACAAAAAGAATAACATTCATTTAAAAAAAAAAAAAAAAACAACTGTTAAAAAAGCAGAAATTACCTAAAACATATGAATCGTTAATGGATTTATATTTATTTTTTCAGCTAGCTAAATAGCTATTAAGAAGAAGTGTTTGAAAGAGTTTCCCTCCAAGTGTAAAAAAGCTACATATATATGTATATATTTTTTTTTTTTTTTTTTTTATTTAATAAATTTGGCTAGTCAACAAAAAAAGAAAAAAAAAAAATGCTAGCGTTTTGTTTTAATCAGAAAAAGTCTTTCGTTAATCGTTATAGGTGAATTCTACGAGTACCATAAAGCGAAGTAATTGAAAAAAGAAGGCAAGTCTTATATGATGTAAAAAAAAAAAAGAGAAATCTTTTAAACCATATTTAAAATAATATAAGGGAGCTCCTGATTGATTCCTATTAAATGTAGAAGCATACATCCATCATTTGCATAATTTGTTCTTAATGAGGTTCCAAGGTAAACATAATCGCAACACAGGTACATTTTAACATTAGTACTTAAAAAAAACATACGGTATGACCACACAATTGAAACAAAACATGAATGGAAAGTACTTATCCCAGTGATGTGTAAACTGTGCATACCAGTGGAAAAAAGATATTTTATTTTCCTCAAATAAAGGAAATAACACAAATGTGAAAGAAACTTAATGGCGATTTTTCACGTACGCCATACAATTTAGACGCTCACGATTTAGCCATACTTTGAAGTTGCGTGTTTTTAAACCTTTCATATATGCATATGAATTAACAACATAATTGAAATAAGAATTGAGTTTTTCATTGTTGCTAAGACAGATTATTTTAACACATTCTTGAACTTAAATATTCGTGCTATTTGCACTGGAATGAAATCATTTTGAAAAATGATGTCTGAATAAAATGTTGTAAAAATAAAGAGACAGAAGTGAGAGACCCTGATGAAGGAACACGTTCACAACGATGAGAAAATTATGTTAATTTTGCTCAATTTCAATTCAGAATTTATCTTATGTTGTTATTAGAACAGAAAGGCAATATCATTATTCTTATAATAGGCAAATACGGTCATATATAAAATAAAAACGCATGATAAACTTTGGCAAAATGAATGAAAGTTTAAAAGCCAAATGTTAAACTAGGGATGTATGATCCTTGAAAAACAATTGTGCCACCGCCGTTGCGTTATAAGGTAATAAATGATATGCTGATATTAAAAAATTCACTAAGGAGAAATTTAGGTACATTTTTAAAAATGTATACACATTTTTGCATTTCGCTACACTCTATGTTTCATTTAAGCGCTTCATTTTAATCGTTAACAAAAAAGAACAATCATAACAAAGTCGTGGCAATAGCAATGCATGCAATGTTAATTCCTATCGCACATGTATATCTTTAACAATAATGAGGAAACAAATTCATAGCATAGCATATTTTTAAAATTGTCAAATGAAACAGTTGATGTTGATAAACTAAACACGTGTAAGTATAATTCCCATCCTATGAAGATACACATATGTTAAACATCTGAAAAAATAAAAAAAAAGGGGATATATATATATAACAAAATGAAAATATGAAATTAATTTTTTACCTTCTCAAGTGTGTTGTTCTTTTAATATATTTACATACGATTTTTTTAGAAGCCAACGCTGTAACGAGATTTAAAAACATAACATTATTCATTCCTTTTGCAAATAATAGAGTGTTGCATAGGGAAAAAAAACGTACCCTAAAAAATAATAAGAACACACAGAAAATGGAAGTTCAGGGGAACTTATTCATTGACATAGGGGCAAATTTGACTGATAGGATGTTTGATGGAGTTTATAGCAAGAAGAAGCATGAGAATGATCTACAACAGTAACAAAAAGAGAGCTGCGCATATTCGCGACTCGTTTTTGTATATGCGTATATTTATGCTTAACGCTTGCCCACGTAAACACATATGAGTGTACAAATGTATGAGCACACACTACCGACATTTGCCTCCCCTTCCCCCACACTGTCCATCGCATGCTGAACACTCATAGCGTTTTAAATAGAGCCAAGAAGAACAATGTTGAGAAGATTATAATAACGTGCACCTGTCTGGAGGACATCGACAAATCCCTAAAGATTTGCGAAACATACGGTTCAATTTTGTGCTTGTTATATAAAAAATGAAAATGTGCTTGTGTCGTCCGTTGACTAAATTTTTCCCGTTCATTCATTTTTAAAACAGATCCCGAGGGCAAGTTCCTTTTTCTAACTGCTGGAGTACACCCCACTAACTGCTATGAGTTCATTGAAAAAAAATTCATGGAAGAAAAAGACAAGCAAGCAAAAAGGGAGTTTGAGGAATTTATTAACTATTTTAAAAATGTGAAATACGCCATACCGGAAAATCCCAAACGTGCCGACGCCAATGCGGAAGGACATAACGCAAATTCACCTGATGTTCAAATAAAAAACGAGGAAAATAAACATCCTAGTGAAACACTACAAGGGGATGTGTTCAAAATTCCTGGCTTCGTGTATGATAAAAAGGAGCAAGATTATTTAGAGAAATTAAAAAAAAAAATAACAAATCATAGCAACAGAATTGTATCCATTGGTGAAATAGGTCTGGATTTCGATAGGCTGTTTTTCTGCCCCAAATATATTCAAATTAAGTATTTTATATATCAGTTAAAATTAGTCGAAATGTTTAAACTACCCATTTTTTTGCACATGAGGAACTGTTCCGATATATTTTTTGAAATTCTGGACAAATACAAGCCATTAATTGAAGGCGTTGGAGGAGTAATTCATAGTTTTACAGACAAGGAGGAAATAATTGAAAAAATAAACACGTACAAAAATTTATACATAGGGGTAAATGGGTGTTCCTTAAAAACGACTGAAAATCTAAATGCCGTGAAGAAAATACCCTTGCATCTTTTGCTGTTAGAAACAGATGCGCCATGGTGTTCCATAAAAAAAACACATGCCTCTTATCACTTCATTCAAGAAAAATATGAACAACGGAATTACACCAACTTGAAAAAAATAAAAAACGTAATCCAATGTGACGATGAAACTATTTTTAAGGAAAGGAACGAGCCCTATAATATTGTGTAATTAAAAAAAACAAAGAATATTGAACCCGTAAAGCGTTCCCACATGTGCATGTGTTTTGCATACACAATTGAGACTTATGGCATATATGAATGTAATGCCCGGTGTTAGCTTCCTTCATAATGGAAAAACTCCTATGTATGCTCCACCGTGAAAAGCATTTCCATCTCATATGCCCGTGAGCCATTTGCAAAGTTTACCCACCACTGTAAAAATAAATTTTCATGTTGTGTGTATTTATTCTGATGCAAAAAAAAAAAAAAAGGCATACATATCGCCATATAATGTTTTGCCTCTAAATTGAATTTTCCCAACAGTCGTCTGCTTTTACATTTGCCGTGTTGTTATATTGTTATTTTTTTGGGGGGGGGGGTCGGTCCGTTCTGCCTGCGCGCGTGCGATGCGCCTACATAGATATATATATATGTACATACATATAAATAAGCGCGTGCATATATATATAAAATTACGTGTGGCGCCCTACACATATACGCTTATACTGGTGCGCGCCATTTGCAAATACCTTTTCGCAGGGATATAGCCGAAATCACATATAAAGTAAGGGCAGCCACCATCCCGTTTGATTCATTTTGTAACAAGTAAGCAATCGACCAAAATGTGTTCACTTTAGATTCGCACATGTACATGCGAAAGTGTTAATGAGGTACATTGAACATGCGCCTCGTGCATTGTGTACTTTTGCGCAGAATCCATTTTGTTAGTAAATTGTGCAGTTTGCCCATTTCATCTTTTTTTTTTTTTTTTTTTGTTGTAATATTTATTATTTTGCTCAAATTAATTCTCATTTTTGAAATAGCACATATGAGCTTTACGCGCGGAGGAACATACCATGTTCTGCTATAGGTTCGTGTAGAACATCCTCTCATATATGCATATCTCATTTCCCCCCTTTTTTTTAATGTATGATGTTAAAAAGAGTCAGATGCAACACCCTAAATTTGTTCAAAAAGCTGCGATAGGAAATTTCATTTGGTGATGTACGCATGGAAATATCTCCTTTACCCAGGGGAAACCATATTTCCTTTTAAATAGTGCGGACAGAAAAAAAAAAACAAAAGAGTCCCAATATATACCAACTTACAATCATAAAGGAGTATATGACACCGAATAACATGGAGAACACTAAGGAGACAAGAGCGAACACGGTGAAGTTACATTTAGAAGCGGTAAAAAAAAAAAAAAAAGAACCCATCCCGAATTACATGCTCTATATAAATAGTCTTCATATCAATGTTGATCTTAACTGCGTAGATGCACATTCTTTTTTTGCCGTGCCCACCTTTTCTTGTCCTTGATTCCATTTTTAACGACAATTCTCCTCACCTTTTTTTTTTTTTTTTTGCATATATGTACTTAAACATGTTACGTCCAGATTGATCATTGCAAGGAAAAAAAGGAGAAGTACGTAAAATGTTTTAATAACTGGTATAAGAATAATTTCCTCAAGGGTGACCTAACGCAAGCTTGTGATGACTACTATGAGGACTATCAAATTTGTGTTCTGGTAATGATTTACATAAGCAGTTTCGACAGCGTATCGTTTGAATGGGCCGACGTGTGTCTACGCCTCATGTGTGCGTTGTGATACACCCGTTTGTGGGGGCACACACTGGTGCATGCGCCTCTGCTTCCGCTTCTGCTTCTGAGCGGGTGCACATGATCCATTCGTTTTTTCTCCCTACAGAACGATCTTAATAAGAAGGGGTTGGGGCACCTGACCAATTTGCCCAAGGAGAAATGAGCGAGGTGGATGCAGCATTACACGCGTACACACGGGAAAAAGAATATTTTGGCCTTTTTCCCTATTTTAAGTTTAAGCCCATTTGTCTTACACGTTTTAATCCTATACAGTTTGCATACACATATTTGCCTCTTTTTTTTTTTTATCGTGTTTACCAGCCCTGATTTTTTTACAATGATTGTTCATTTTGTCACACGGTATATATTTTTGCCCTAACTTTGGTGGGTCGCTTGCCACCGCCGTACCTTCCACGGCGAATTGTTTTAAAAAACAAATGAATTTTTTTTTTTTTTCTCTCTCTTTTCTTTTCTTTTCGTTTTTTTTTTTTTGTTATTTTGTTAATTTGTTAATTTAATAAAAATTGAAAAGGGAAAAAATGCATTCGCAAATGAGCAATATATAAAGTTTGCGCGACAGTGGCACGAGTTTCACACGACGTCGTCGCGACCCTCACACGCAACGCGTACATATATATATATATATATATATATATATGCGCATTATTATTAAAATTTCGATAATATAATTAAAACTGAATGCATGCACAATTGATTGAAAACGAAAGAGCTACATATGTTAACAAATAATCACACATAAGTAGTTTAAAATGGATGTTATAAAACGGAAGTGCGTTGGTCAACGTGTAGAGAGATATGAATAGGTATCAATGAGAGTAGATAGAAATAAACACGGGAAAAAAGTTCAAAGTTGTAGAACCCATGGGGGAGCAAAAGCATAAACAATGAACATGTGGCAGAAAAACAATGAGCTCGCATGAAAAATTTAAACAAACGGACACACAATGTGTCCAGTTAAAAAAAAAAAAAAAAAAAAAAAAATATAAAATTAAAAAATAGTTAATTAATTCTTTATAATAAAACAGGGGAGGGGGGGAAATAACAATAACAATAATTATAATGCTAAAAAATAACAATAAATAATAATGGGAATAATTATTTTGACGATTCTGATGAAGACGAAGAGGGAAGCAGGTGCTCGGTACAGAGAGAGAGAGACTGTGAAAGAAGAATAGGCTTAGTTCAATTAAAAATGTTTTTATTTATTTATTTTTTTAAAAAAAGTTTATTTTGTCTACTTTAATAGGTGTGCTTAAAACGTCCTCCTCCTGGTAAGTTCCCCCTTTTTTTTTTTTGTGGGTTCCTATTTGAACAGCTTAATCTCAACACAGGGTTCACATCACATGGGACATCAGCGGGATTGAACATTTTTGCATGCTCCGACACATGCACACGGGACCACGGCGCTGTGTTTATATATACATACATATGCATGTTCATAAACTTGCTCCTTTGGGGAATATATTTCTCATGGTGCACTTTTCCTCCTTGATACCTAGCCAAAAAAAAAAAAGTTGTGCGCTTCCGTTGGGCAACAATACACTGTTCTGTTCCTTTGCTCGTCCAATGGGTAAAATCTTTCCCTTTTCAATTACCTTTTCCATCATGGTCTCACATCACATTATAACACACATCATGAAGGTTGGAGATGCTCCACGAATGGGTCGCCTTTTACATACACGTGCTGCTTTTCATATCTTCAAAATTTTCATTTGTATTTTTTTGGTAGACAAAATGCTTCCTATAATCTTTGTTCTTCGTTACATAATCCAATTTTTTTTTTTTCTCTCCAATGGCTACTCCATTTAGCTGATTATTTACAAAATTGTTTTCTACATGCATTTCGTTTTCTATCGAATTATTATTAAAGCCTTCCATGGGGTACCCAAAATTATAATCATACATAAAATCAGGGTACCCATTATTGTAGTGCTGGTTGTACATATTTATGGGGTAATACAAATAGGGGGGGTTCGGGATGGGATGCTGGTTATACAGGTAGTACAGGTTCATGTCTAAGTTGTTCTTGTAAAAGTTATAATTTCCTGGGGGTGCTTTTTTGTGAAGAAAAAAAAAATAAATAAATGACAGTGTTGCATGCGTTAACACGGTGGGGCCATGTGCCTTCACATACACGTAAGAAAAGTGGACACTCACATATATTTATGTGCACATCGATGCCTCGTACCTATGCCATAGTTTGGGGGCGCTAACATGGTTCCGTAGTTCTTAACTTTGAAAAAGTCCTTCCTTGGACCTGGGTACTCAAGGGGCTTGTTATTCTTGTTGTACATCTTTTTCCCTTTCTCATTCTTCTCCTTCAAATTTGCGTTCTTCCTGTTATAGTACACATTCTAAAAATGATTATTCAGCGGGGTGGGAGAACAAAAAAAAAAAAAAAAAAAAAAAAGGTGAGAAGTGTTTGCAGTCGTATATGGCTTCGCCACATCATGCACTACTATTTCGAAAAAAAAAAAAAAAAAATTTGATAATTTCACGCTTTTCATCTTTTTTTATGCATACGGAGAGAATCTTGGTTATTATGGATGTGTTGGGTGGCAGGTCCAGCAATTCGCTTACAGCTTTCCTAAAAAGGGGGGAAACAAAGAAAAGGAAAATATCCTCTTGTAAACAACGTTTGGTACACGCATTCACAGGAGCGATATAACACAGTAGCAACACTCGTGGCGCTTCTTTGAATCCCTCTTTGCATTTTTTTTTTTTTCTTACGTTAGAATGTTCTTTATATAGTTTGAGTAGTTCTTCATCCAAATTTTGAAAAAAATTTCGTTTTCCCTTATGCACAGTTGTATTCCTGAGAGGTCCACCAAATTGAATTCTTCTCCAATGGCCAGGAGAACCTACAGAGGGGGGTGTAGTAAATTTGCAACAGGAGAATACGTTAATTTGTGTCAGCACTACCCGTGTATGCACATCACTTCTTCGCTGTATTTCTTGTCTATTCGCGCAATCTACCCGCCCTTCTCCTCACAAATTCGAATGCGCAAAACGGTTGTTGGCTGAACAGATGTGGACTTTGAAACCGACTTACCATTTTTTCCCAAATCAAATCAGCAACGTTGTCCCTAAAGTACTGGTCGTTTTTTATAATGTAAATGAATCCGTTCGAGTATTCCTGCGTTGGGACAAGTGTAAGGAAAATTTATTCATGTGTGATCGCGTCGTTTCATTTTTTTTTTTTTAGCACGTGTGGGTGAGTTCGGCACTCCTTTGGGGTTCCCCCTCGCTTAAGTGATTCTTTCTGACTTCATCCACTTGTTTTATTCCATTTGGCTTTTTTTTTTTTTTTTTTTTTTTTTTTAACTTTTCCCCTCCTCAGACCATGCCGCTCTCCCGTCTTACCTCGTAAATGAAAATATCCTCTTGTAAACAACGTTTGGTACACGCATTCACAGGAGCGATATAACACAGTAGCAACACTCGTGGCGCTTCTTTGAATCCCTCTTTGCATTTTTTTTTTTTTCTTACGTTAGAATGTTCTTTATATAGTTTGAGTAGTTCTTCATCCAAATTTTGAAAAAAATTTCGTTTTCCCTTATGCACAGTTGTATTCCTGAGAGGTCCACCAAATTGAATTCTTCTCCAATGGCCAGGAGAACCTACAGAGGGGGGTGTAGTAAATTTGCAACAGGAGAATACGTTAATTTGTGTCAGCACTACCCGTGTATGCACATCACTTCTTCGCTGTATTTCTTGTCTATTCGCGCAATCTACCCGCCCTTCTCCTCACAAATTCGAATGCGCAAAACGGTTGTTGGCTGAACAGATGTGGACTTTGAAACCGACTTACCATTTTTTCCCAAATCAAATCAGCAACGTTGTCCCTAAAGTACTGGTCGTTTTTTATAATGTAAATGAATCCGTTCGAGTATTCCTGCGTTGGGACAAGTGTAAGGAAAATTTATTCATGTGTGATCGCGTCGTTTCATTTTTTTTTTTTTTAGCACGTGTGGGTGAGTTCGGCACTCCTTTGGGGTTCCCCCTCGCTTAAGTGATTCTTTCTGACTTCATCCACTTGTTTTATTCCATTTTTTTTTTTTTTTTTTTTTTTTTTTTTTTTAACTTTTCCCCTCCTCAGACCATGCCGCTCTCCCGTCTTACCTCGTAAATGGGCTTGTAGTTGTGCTTAAACAGGTAAATGTTGTAGTACTCCTTGATGGACGATGGGGATTTCATGTACTTGTAGTTCCTGCGCGAGGGAAAGGGGGTGCAGGAAGAGAGGTGTGTGTGGTGGTGTTCTCTTGCTTCCTCAATGTGGAGCTGCGTATCATCCCTGCCATTTTTTTTTTTTTTTTTTTTTTTTTCCGCCCTTACTTGTAAAATTTTTCAATCGTGTTAAACGTTTCCAAGGACACCAAACCGTTCACGTACTGCTCGTAGTACTTCCTGTTTTCCTTGTCGAATAAAAACACCCATGTATTCTGCAGGTAGTTCTCATTCTGTGTAGGTGGGGAAAGGAACGCGCGTGCCGTGTACATGTGCATATATACATTTATGTGCTCTTATATATGCGGCACCCTATTCCGGCGTCATGTAAATGCCAGGTGCAAATGCCTCATCACACATATACGCGGTAACGAACTGTGATTGCACCTGTCCGTTTTTTTTTTTTTTTTTTTTTTTTGCACTCTCCTCTTTTGAAGCCCAAATCGGAGTACACAGTGTTCCATTTTTACCTTTTGTTTGTTCTTCTTGGCGCCCTTTTTAGAATTGGCCTTATTCTTTTGTTCCGTGGAGTTTTTTTTCTTTACGTTGTTGTCACCATGTGTGGGGGTACTGCTCGTTATCTTTCCTTCAGCGGCGCTATTGTTATGTATGCCGTTTTCATTACCATTGGTCTCCTTTGCACCTTTCTTGTGGGCGTTCATTTTATCTTTCGTAAGTTCATTGTTGCTTGTGTTTGTGAGGTTCGTCGTTCCGTTTTTTTTCTCGAGTGCGTTTGTTTTGACGTTAGCTTTTTGATTGTCCTTGTTCATTTCTTTTTTTTTTTTCCCTATCTTTTGGGTATGCGCATTTGCCTTCTGCACACCTTTGGAGGTCCCGATTGCGCTTCCTGTGCCACTTCCGGTTCCGCTACCCGTTCCGCTGGGAGTGGCTCCACCGCAAGTGCTACTCCCCTTAGATTCTTTCCCGTCGTCAAACCTACTCTTTGGTTCCCTTTTCCCTTTCCCGACCACGGTGAAGGTGTTGCTCTTCTCAATTAGTTCACACCTACCAATTTCATTTCTAATTTCGTTTCTATTTTCGTTTCTATTTTCGTTTCTATTTTCGTTTCTAATGTCGTTTGGAACTTCATTTCCGATTTCGTTTCCACCGTTACCCCCATTATCATCGTCTTCGTCGTCCTCGTCCCCATTGTTCGTGCAACTCTCCTTGTGGACTTTTTTTTTATTTTTCAAGTTGGTGCCCTTGTGGCCCGGCTTATTATTCTTCGCAGGCTCGCATTTTTTGGGTTCCCTACTTTCGTCATTGAGACACAAATCATCATTTTTTGCTTTACCTTCCTTTTGCTTATCCTTTTGTTTCTGCTTTTGATTTTGATTTTGATTCTGATTTTGATTCTGATTCTGATTCTCTTTTTCCTTTTCCCTTTCCTTTTCCTTTTCCTTCTCTTTCTGTTTTTCTTTCTTTTTTTCTTTTTGTTTTTGTTTTTTTTCTTTTTCAATATCAGCTAATTCGATGTTGTTAACGCATTCGAGATTTTCTTTCATTATTTTTTTTTATTATTATTATTTTTATATTTTTTTAAAAAATTTTATAAAAGTAACTCGTAAAACGGGGGGATTCGAAAACCGCGCCCGTATGTACGAGTGTGCAAGAAGGGGGGGGTGGGGGGTGGATTAAGGCAGGGGCGTCGGTTCAAGCAAAGAAAAGTGAGAGGCAGCGCTCAGGCGGAGGGGGAAGAAATGAAAAAGAGGAAACAAAGAGAAGATACACAGATTGGAACAAAATAAAAAAAAAAAAAAAAAAAAAAAAAAAAGGAAAAATGG